CCATTGTGGTTAGCTGCCATGCGATGAAGTTGATTTATGTAGCAGTGTCCAGGGCCAGCGTCCTCGCGAGCATCAGCGCTTCATATCGGCTTCTGGTGTTGCTAATACGCATGTTCCAGTTGGCATCGTTGTGCAAGTGTGAAAAACTGGTTATATAAACATCTGCAACTATTTAACACGTGTCTGTGCGTGCAACATTTGTACTATATTTAGCGTCATTTCATCACGTGCCGCACAATAAGAAAAATTGCAACACTGTAACCTTCCCTCCGCATTTCGCATAACGTCGATTTCCGGGTACGTGGGATCTGGCGAATTTTTTTGCATTGTTGAAAAAAGATTTATTCCTTAAAATGAGGAGTTTTGCAGGGAAAGTTCTTTTTATTGTCTCCAGAAGTTACATGTAACTATTGTATACTTTAACTTTATATATATATGTGTGTGTGTGTGTGTGTGTGTGTGTGTGTGTGTGTGTGTGTGTGTGTGTGTGTGTGTGTGTGTGTGTGTGTGTGTGTGTGTGTGTGTGTGTGTGTGTGTGTGTGTGTGTGTGTGCACGTGCGCGTGTGTGTGTGTGTGTGATGTAACAAGTCAGGGATGGTTAGGAGAAGTAGACGAAGAAGAAGTGAGAATGGAATAAACATGGCGTATGAGCCAGGCGACGTCACCCATTCATCATAGTGTCACACGAGTCGACGGGATGAAGACCTGGCCGCCGCTCATCAGCCTCACATCATTCACGAAGCCACCGGCAATACGCCTCAACTGAATATCGACCACAGAAGAGGTGATCTCAGCCACATGCAATTAACGGCATCATGATAGAACCATCGACTGACCTTCCCATCCCCAAGTACACCGGAGCAGTGGACGATGGACCTGTACAGGACTGGTTTGACCTGTTCGAGCTCCACGCTACCGCTGCATCATGGTCGGAACGGGAGATGATCATCAACTTTACCGACTACATCTCCGGTGAGGCTTTCAAATATTTCCTCACCCACATATTTCAAAACGACGAGTCATGGGAAAAGATAAAACAAGAAATGATCATTTGGTTTAAAGAAGACAATGACGACTAGGACAAAGATTCGCTTATAACCGACCATCCACAGACGATCGCACTCGGTCGCCGCAGTCAAAAGCACTGCTCACGCATTGGGACACCAAAAATGAATCGGCCTTTGAAACAAGAGCAATTAAAGCACCCTCTCAATGAAAGGCAGCCAGATCTATTTGCAGGAAGAGTGAACCCTCCACCGCACCGCGTTTTGCAACTGCCCGATCAAAAACCAACCTTTACGTCATTACTGCACCGTAGCACTCACATTAGGGAGCCACCCTTTGCACAGTACTTTCCGTCTCGCGCACTTCAACCACCTCCTACTTTTCCATCGCTTGGTTCTTCAGTTCCTCACAGCGCTCACCTCGCATCTCACATGCTTACTACGGTTGATATAGAGGTGAGAAACCATGAATATATTCAGGCTCTGGCCCTTCTGTGCAGATACATGCATCAGAACAGCTTAACTCGTTAGTTACACAGAAAGACAAACATTTCGACTGAAATCTGACCAAACTACGCCTGCTGAGGTGTCACCATCCAGTGCACGGACACCTGGGAGTCTTAACAACACAGGATGCTCGGAACCATCAAATCCCACACCTTGCCGAGAGCCAGAAGCGTCCATTAGGAACGGCGTCACAAGAGCCTCCGAAGAGTCTCCCGTAAATTCGAGCACACATCCTTCATTACCCGAAATGCAGCATAACAGTCCACTGACCACCACCTGCCTACCGGACACCACATCAAGTTGCCCAGAAAATCAGTGCCGTGGTCAAAAACGGCTGCCACCTCAGCTCCTACCACATGAGAACACTATCAATGCCAGCAGAAGCAAGCCCAAGAACAACAGAGTCTCCATGGGCTACACCAGCGAGGACGACTACGAAGGGAAAAACCTTTGGAAGAACACGCGAGAATTAAACAAAGGCATCTACAAGCGGGTCAAGTGAAGCGATGACAAATTAAATATACCTTGCTTAAGACAAACAAGTATTCTAATTCAAGACATCTTCGCAAAAAGGAACATCGCACAAGTTTTCTCCAGAAGAGATCAAGATTAAGTCTACAATCAAAGCTGTTCAAACAACAGAACACAAAGTGACGAAGAAGGCGCAAAACCACACCCTGTATTACGGAAGGATGCAAAAATCGCCGCACCAGTCTTGGTCAATAAACACGCAGACAGGTGGCACTGCATGTGTACCAATCAAGGCAAAGAGCACGACGCCTACGCAAATCATGCTGCTGGTGCTCCAAAGCCTTCGCACCACGTTCAATCTTTGCAAGTATACAATCAGTTTCATCATCTGCAGTTTCAACGTTCAAGGTGTACTTGTGTTTTCCAGTACACAACAGTCAGCCTCGCCCACCAGAACTCCAGCATTTACCGGACTGCTGCACTCTCCTGTGAAGCTAACGTGTGTTTATGGAAACTTCCTGGGACATGGAACTATCTTCCCTTTTTTGACTGCGTTCACTTTTTAGTCGTGCACGTTCAGTTTATAATTTCTGTTCGTCTGACGCAACTTCTTTCGGGGGGAGGGGGAATCCTGTGACGTAAGAAAGCAGGTATGATTAGGAGAAGTAGAGGAAGAAGAAGTGAGAATGGAATAAACATGGCGTATGAGCCAGGACACGTCACCTATTCATCATAGTGTTACACACAAACACACACACACACACACACACACACACACATATATATATATATATATGAGATCTAACAGGCAATAATGCCAAGTAATGTATAGGGGAAGTTATTAGAACCTATGTAATGTAAATAAGCAGAAAGAAAAGTGGGTGAAAAAATAACTTGCCGTGAGCAGGAATCGAACCTATGACCTTCAAATAACGCGTTTGCTGCGAGCATCGAACGCGTTATCATCACATTATCATCACTTTATCTTCATAAATAACAAAGATGGTTTTCATTACCATGTTCTCCCTTAAGGAAGGAAAAGCCAAGGTGGTCTGACAAGACAACCCAACTTTGCGTAAAGTTAAGGCATCTGTTGGCAAGGGCATATGAACACATTTGCGGTGAAGCACTTTTAAGCTTCTTTTCAGGAAGACTGAGCAACAAAAGAGACCACAAGAGGAGAAACAGGCTTGTCACAAACATCTGCAATTTTCGCACGCATGCCCCTTCGTCAAATGAAGGGTGCCTTTGCATGGAAAACTTCTAGCAACAGACGGTGCGGAAACGACTTTGCCTATTCTTCCCTGCACCTGCAGTGAAAGGGAATGTATATGTACGGGAAAAATGACCTTCAGGGGGGATGCACACGACCTAAAAGAATTTGACTGCTTTGGCAGTATAGACGCTGAACCAGTTAACAATCAAGTGCTGCAAATCTCGCGTAGGCAATGAGCACGGAGTGTCGCATGCTACGCAATGAGTCGGCTGCAACACCGGGCGCCCTCATCATCTACCTAAGCTGGCAAGACCATCAGCAGCCCTCCCATCAACTCCCTTAGATGCATCACAAGCTGGCATGATAAAAGTTAATTCCAAAGCTCATTAAACAAGCTGCTCTGCTCATCTGTGGTCAGTCTGGAGACAAGTGGGGACAAGCAATTCACGCGGCAAATCCATACGCACGGTACATTAGCTGCCTGGGCAGCATAGGTGCCGCACTGCACTCAACTAACCAGTAGATAATCGAGTCCACGCAGCCGCTTTGAGTATCAATGAAAGTGTCAGTTGTCAGCATCAGATCGCCATGGAGATGTGCACATATGTATCGCAGAAAGCCAACACTTCCCGTTCTGTCGCTATTTCAGTCGCTGTGTATTCTAAACCTTGTAATAGTTTCGAAAAGCTCCTTGGCGTCACAACCGCGCACTATCAAACAATTGTGAAAAGTGCGAGCCCAGTATCTTTCCCGCACTTCGTCAAAAAAAGAAGAAAAGACTTTCTGATGGGTAGTTTGGGCAACATCTACTGTGGTACAGTATCTATTTACTGGTGGACATAGTGCATGTCAGGAGATGCACATTTGTACTTGTAAACACGCAGTGCCATTGAGCGCATGATCATGACCTATTCCCAGCTGGAAAAAATTATTGAGGTTCCACTGCATTACTAGATAATCCACATTAACTTATGTTGATGTCACGACTTTTAAGGGGAAAGCACAGCAATAACAGTGATGAGACAAGCACTAGCCAGCCCCATCAATGAACCAAATTGCAATAAGAGTATGATTGAACATGTGATCGAACTAAGCTGGATATGGATGCAACCAACGATACTAGATTTTTCTTTCAGTTTGCAAACTTCGCCGCCGCAGGTGTCACCATTCTATGCACCACCACGAGGGGGCGCGCTCGTAATTTTTTGACCGGTCTGACGAGGGTCACCATTAGGCGCACGCCACCGACCACGCCGGCGAAGCAAAACAGCAGGTGCTTCTTCGAAGCGTGCAGGTATAGTGCAAGTGTGTTCCATGGCAATCGCTATCATTGTGTGTCTCAGCGAGATCGACGACACACGCGCAGTTTGTGCTTCCATTCCTGCTTACTGCGATATCATGGTGACAATTGACGTTGTGTCTCACTTGCTGTCAGCTCTGTTTTGTTATAGTGCCGGGTGTTAGCTGCATAGCTCTCACGCGTCGTGTGACAGTTTTTCGATGTTATAAAACATGCCTCGCTGCTTTGTCGCCGGTTGCCGAAGCGGCTACTACTCAACGAAATCTGCGAACGTGAAGAGAACTTAAAAAGTACAGCATTGTTCAGTTGGGCTGTTCAGTCCATGTATCATCATTCAACTGCCGAAAATTGAACTTCTTTATTGTGACAAGAATACATTTCTTCCCCAGAAATTTCAACCACTGGTTTGAAAGCAAAGAAAAAGTGGCTGTAAAAAAAAAAAAAAAGGGGGACACACCTCCTTTAACTCTGGCTCTTGCCCTTGAACAAAAGTGACTTCCAGTTTGTTGTAGCGTTCAATTAATTGTGTTCAATAAGACTTTGCTGAACTCATTCTATTATGCATTCTGTAGCCTTATAAGGGACACGCATTTATTGAATTCGTGTGTTATCTTTCTTTGAAAAAAAAATGTTCGGATCGTACATTTGAGCTATCTGAAATGAAACAAGTTGTTCTGGGCTTTACACTTCCAACATCTCCGGCGGCATCAGATGAATGTAGTCTGTGCCTCATGATATAACAATAACTAAGGTTATATGATTACGAGGCACGTCGGGTTGAAGAGCTTTGAAAAATTTCGCCACCTGTGGTTTCTCTAACATGCACCTGAATTGAAGTCCTCCAGCCTTTACCCTTAAGCCCACTGCAACTGTTCTTTAATATATACGGTAGAATTTTAAAGAACAAGAACGCAATACGGCTAAATTAACACAATGCCCGCAAGATTCAGGCATCGCACTTCCATCTCCGCCATGTGGAACAGCATTAGCCGCACAACTAGTGCTTTAATTGCCCACTCGTAATAACCTTAGTGCACTATCATGGAAAATAACTCCCACAACGCCAAATTAACCGTAAGAACTCCGTTTAACATTGTTCAAGATCCATTACGTCGCGACAACCAGTCAAATGGCATCGGAAACGCCACCTAGGGAGCGGGAAACGAAAGGGGCCGCGTTTCGCCGCCTTGTCTCAGCAGAGTTTGCAAATTGAAGAAGAATCTAGTAACATTGGATGCGGCCACATCCTTTGTATAAATAATGCTCAGTGTTGCTCGGTCGACAATAATAATCACCTAGATTTGGCAGTTTACATTTCCAATCAACAATTATCACGGAAATTGCCATTTATGCGCAGCCTGGCGCAGCAGGTCAGATTGGTGCAGAATGGTGCAATTGGCACAGCACAGATGTTATTATCGCATTCCAGGACTTCGTTTTCGTACGACATCTTTTTTGCTTGTCTCAAGTTTGCGAAAAAACTATTAAATAAATTTTTGTACGAGGAATTCAGATTTTTGTTGAATGGTTGTTGTAAGTAGTCTTCAAATGTTACAGGATATTTATATGTGACATGTTTGGTTACTGGTCATAGCACGGTCAGCATGCTCATCAGGTGTGCCCACCCTCATGCAGTCACATGGCCTCCCACAGAAAAACAAAGCCACCTTGCTGCCATTGGTAGCAGTGTTGCCCTGTGGAGCTTCCAATGTTTCACGCACGATGCTGTACACAGAGCATTGCTCATACATTTTTATGGATGACACGTTTCACTCTCCGATTCCCAGAAAACTCTATCAACAAGCTTCAATCGGAAAAAATGGCCACTGTACAACCAAATGACCCAGTTTTGCACAGCAGTCTTTGGTTTGAAACTACACGAACTTTCACATCAAGCTTTTTCCTGCTTTGGTGTGATAGTATTCCACAGCAAAGAAATAAATGCCAAGAAACGTACTTACGACTTCGTAGCATCGTCCAACTGGGCAGCAATGTAAGTTGAACACATCCTCGTTGGAAATGGTTCGAGGAAAACGTTACCGTGTCCAATGGTGGCCGCAGTGATGCATGACCTTTGCCCAAGACTGCAGCACGTGAAAGCCTCTGTGAGGTCCGTAAGTCTGGCTATTCTTGCAAATCCCAACCGTTCTTGCGAATGAAACGTAAGTTGGTCATGGGAATCCACGTGGCACACCAACATCCTACAATACAAAAAATATATTGGTTGTTCTAAAGACACCTACGCTTGCTAGAACCCAGCAAATCTAATTTCAAGATTCATTTTTTATTGCACCTTTTCTCACTAGCTCACACTGAACTAAGCTACCATTATGATTAGTAATTTTAAACAATCAGAAGGCAAAATAACAAATGAATAAATTGGCATGAACAAAATTCTTACAAAGAGTAACACCCAAAAAATTCCCTATAGTGATGCTAAGGTCTAGCACATGAGTGTTTTGTATTCCGCCCACATCAAGTGTGCCTGCAGCGCCACGACAGGAAACTACCTACATCATGCTCTCAGGGAATGCTTGACAACCTAAATAAAAAATAAAAGTAATTGTAGGTGTTTAATGTCCCAAAATGATATGTGAGGCACCGTAGTGGACAGGAATTACAACCACGTGGGGTTCTTTCACATGCACGTAATCAAAGCAAATGGGTCTCTAGCATTTCACCTCTATCAAAATGTGGCTAACATAGCTGGTATTTGGTCCAATGACATTCGAGTCAATAGTTGAGCACCGCAAACACCATACTACCGTGGCAGGTGGCACAACCGGTGGTCAGCAACATTGAACTGCACAGTGCAGATGCAACACCCCAAAATATACCAAGCCGTTTGCTGGTGGCTATCACTACCGGCAAAAACTTCTGAAACCACATTCAGTCATTGTTCCATGTGTTCATTCAACAAAAATTAATTTAAGTGCAGAGGGTTCAGGCAAATGAGGAGTGCTAGCAGCTTCGGCAACAACAAAATTTGAAAAAGGGCGAGTCACACTACGGTACAAAAGCATACATACAAGTTGTCCGTACAGTTGGCCATGACAAAATGTGGATCTTGTGCTTTTGGAATATTGCAAGCAAACAGCAGATTTCAAAAGTATGTTCTGAACATGAAACTTATCGCCTTTGCACAGGCTTCACTTGCATCTATATCTCACTAACACCTGCATGTGTTCCCTTTTATATGACAAGGCAACACATTGTTCACTTTATCAATGCCTTGAAAAAAAAAAAACATGTAGAGCTGAGTGCACACTAACTGCCCCTTGAAGATCTCGACTTGCTTATGAAAACAAAACTTATGAAGTTGTCACAATACAGTCAAAGCTTGATTTAACAAAACCAAATTTCAAAAATTTCCTCGTTTATTAAAAAAATCTATGCTATGGCCTGTACCAAGAAGTTTCAATGTCACCATCAACTCAAATAATTTATGGCAGTAGCTTGGCCACCAAATCCAAAATATAGCAATGTTCTTCTGGAAAGTAAAAATAAATAAGGTGGTGATTTCTTTCTAATCAGGATAAAGACATGTTTTTCTAGAAGTGTGCGCTGTAAAATGCTATCCCTTTAAAACAACCACCAATCCTAGTCATGGCCTTAGATTTATTTGGACGAGGCTGCACACTACACAAATGCATGAAAGAGGGCAGTGTTCCTTCCGGTAATTGGTGGGAGGAGTTGACATTTCATGGTTTATGCATCAGATCACACTGATTGCATCCTCACAACTTTCAAGCTTGGTCAGCTCCCATCATCACTGCATTCATACTCCAAGTATTTGTGTATCAGCAGCATGTCATAGATTCACGTAATCTGACCTAGACCGCACAAGTGCGAAGCCTCCAATACACAAGATGCATGGGCGGCTCCATGTGTGAGCTGCCCTGGGACAAGCTCAGAGACTTTACTTAATTGCAGGCACAAATCAGCGGCAAATAATATGGCACACTAGCTTTTAGATCCAACTATACCCTCATTTAGCTTTTAAAAGCCCAAAAAATATTTTCATCAATTTTAAAGAAATTGCCAGAGCATTGTCAGCATTTCGTTGAATCAAGTTTCATTATATACACATTATCTTCAAGGGCACGAACTCAAACACACAACATACAACACAGTGCCACAGTGCGACCAGGAGTAACAATGACCTGCAACATCATAGCGAGCGTGGGCTCATTCACCGAATCTCTTCACAGGCAAACTACCTATCTTGTGTCCAACTCAAAGGAGATACCCTTTCACCGGAGGCACGCTTTTTTCTCCCGGACACAAGCCAGCAACAAGAGTCAGAGTCAGCGTGTGGCTTCAAAGCAGGCATGTAGGCAAAGACAGGCCCAGGGAGCCCGAGCCCCCCCCCCCCCCCCAAAAAAAAAAAATTTGTCCAGTCAACCATCAAGACAATAGTATAGAGGGGTAAGCACAAGTAGCGGCATGTGCATTTAAAGAAATGAAAAAAAAACAATAGTCAAGGAACTGACCAAAAACAGCTTCCCTGGACGACATCGTAGTCTCTACAGCTGATTTCCCGACACACATTGATCGCCTCCGTGAAATTCTGACACGCCTAACTTCTGTGGACCTACAACTTGACACCAAGAAGTGCCATTTCGCAGCACAGAAGCTAACCCTCTTGGAACATGTCATCTCAACAGATGGCGTTTTTTCAGTTCCCAATAAGCATCAAACTGTCATCAAATTTCTGAAGCCCTAAGAAGTTTCATTGGCCTCTGCTCCAATTTTCGTCCCTTCATATGTAACTTTGCGTCCATCATCGCACCTCTGATAAGTCTTCTTGCCACCAGCAAAGGTATATGTGCATGGTTGATTGATTGATATGTGGGATTTAACGTCCCAAAACCACCATATTATTATCAGAAACGCTGTAGAGGAAGGCTCCGAAAATTTCTACCTACCTGGGGTTCTTTAACGTGCTCCCAAATCTGAGCATATTTGCCTGCGGCATTTTCACTGCAATCGAAAATGCAGCCGCCGCAGCCGGGATTCCATCCTGCAACTTATATATATGTGCGTGGACACCTGAATGCGATGACACATTTCACCAGCTGCGCTGCCTCTTGACCCCACCACCTATTCTTCGACACTACAACCCCACTGCTTCCTTAAAAATTCACACCGATGCAAGTAGTGTTGGTCTTGGTGCAGTTTTGGCACAACAGAAAGGCAACCAAGAGAATACATTGTCGCTTATGCAAGTCATGCTTTAAAGAAGGCTGAATCATATTACTTCGTGACAGAAAAGGAGTGCTTGGCAATAATCTGGGTGTTTACAATGTTCCACTCGTACTTTTATGGCCGTCCTTTCGACATGGTCACAAACGCTTTCTTTCCATTTTGAAAGACCCATCAGGACGACTGAACTGTTGGGCCCTTCGATTGCAGGAATACGATATTCGTATCATATATTGTTCCGGTAGTTAGCTTTCGGATGCTAATGCACTCTCCCGCTCGCCAATAATACCAGATGTGGCTTCTCTGTCACCCCTCTTTACCACATTGTAACCAATCGGCACTACTGACATGCATTCAAAACAGTGTTAAGGCCCATACTTTGCCTTGTTACTCGTCTACCTTACCGATCCGTCCGCTGTTCCTTCGACGAGAGCGCTATGCCATCAAGCAGTCCACTTTTCGGTGCAAGACAACATTCTCTACCGGCGCGACTTTATGCCATGTGGCTGAAAATGGCTCCTTGCGGCCCCTAGTCATATGCACTCTGACATCTGTGAGAATTTCTACGCATCCCAAAAGTGCCCCGGCGTCCTAAAAAACTTACGAAAGGCTGCGTCAGCGATATTACTGGCGAGGAATGCAGCACTTTGTGCAGAAATACATTCAGTCTTGCACTACATGCCAATAAAACAAGGCACCTCCACGACACCTTACTGGCATGTTACAGCCCCTCCAGAGCCCGGTTCGCCCACTTGACCACGTGGGTATCGACCTTTATGGCCCCCTCTCGTATAGTGGATCTGGACACAGGTGGATTATGGTCAGCGTCGACCATATGACACGCTACACTGAGACCGCAGCCCTACTGGCAGCGACTGCCCTCGTAGTTGCACTCTTCATTCTCCGCAACTTCATTCTACGCAATGATGCTCCGCAAGAGCTACTCAGTGATCGGTGTCACATGTTGCTTTTGTTTTGGAGACCATCCAAGCCATCGTCACTGAATGCAACATCATCCACCAGAAATAAATCGCCTACCATCCACGGACAATTGGTCTCACCGAGCGATTCAACCGCACACTCGGCGACATGCTGAGGATGTATACTTCCTCTTACCACACCAACTGGAAGACTGTACTGCCTTTAGTTACGTCCACTTACAACACCACAACGCAAGCAACTACTGGCTTTTTCCCGTTCTTTCTGTTGTATGGCTGTGACCTTCCTACCTACTGGACACCATATACCTGTACCACCCTGATGCTTCTGAGTGCACTCCAGTTTCTGAAGTCGCCAGATACACCGAAGACTGCAATCAGTTAGCTTGTTCTCTGACAGGTGAAGCTCAAGGTCGACAACAGACGTGACATGACGGCATTCATCACCCAGTCCCTATGGTTCGTGCTGGCTTCTTTGTTTTGCTTTGGTTGCCCCCAACGTCCCTGGCCTTTCCTCCAAACTTCTGGCACGGTACCATGGTCCGTACTGTATCAATGATGCCACCTCGCCAGTGAACTACATCGTCGAGCCCCTCACACAATCACCAGATTTGCGCCATCGAGGACATGAGACCATACACATCGACCGTCTTAAGCCCTACTACGAGCCCTTCATTGCGCTTACTCCCTTAGTCACCAAAATGGCTATGCTTCACCCTGGGGGTATCATAGTGGTGCACCCAAGATATCATAGATGAGCATATGCACCAACATGTATGAGCGTGCGAAAGAGAGAAAAAGTCCACATTCCGATTGCGCAAGAACCTGTGCCGCCTTTGCCAGCCTTGCCGTACGGTCTTTTTCCGTTGCGTCCTTTGCAACTTCACTAGTTCAATAAACCTCATGACATTAGTGGTTTTTAGCATGTTTGTTGTGAGTTTTTTATTTCTGACTTGGCAACACTGCACACTACGTGATTAAACCTGGCACTTCTTCGCACCTAAACCTAAATAAACAATAAGCAAAAACTCGTTAGATGTGCACAAAGCAACGAGACT